AATCGCAATGAGAGTCCCCAGTCTCAATCCCATTGGATAGGCATAACTTCACCCTCCCTTCAAAGGCAAGCAAAAGAAATTTCATTTTCATACCCAAAATAAATAAATAATAAATAAAATCATAGCTTCATCTCAAGTTGTTTTTTTAATTTCTAAATAGCAAAGGGTCCACTCCCTCCAGGTGGGTTTCTCTTTTATATTTAATGTCTCTTGTGTTGTAACAAAATATGACCAAAATTTTAAGTAAAGCATGCACCCCACCATGCAATATTTCCAATTTATAAGGTTGGCACATTTATAATAGCCTTTCTAAATTATAGTTTTTTAATTAGGAATATGTAAATGGGTAATGTATATATCCAGATATAACATGATTCATTGTTAACTTTATATACATATATTATGTTACATCTCACATTGCCAAATAGATGAGTCTAGGACTCAATTTATAAAGGTCGAGTTTTCATCACTAAATGTATGTATCTTTTCGGTGAAGGATACTTGCCTGAAGCTCAAAAATAAATGTTTAAACCTAAAATGAACAATATTTTTCAGAAGTTACTTTTTTTTTTTTTTTTTTTTTTTTAAAAAAAAAATTCTTGTGAACCATATGATGGAATTTAGGTATAAGAAGACAAACCAATTATTTTAGTACATAAAAACCAATTGTCATATGTATATTAATAGCTTTTTAGATTTGAGATTTTGGTAGGCATTCTTTCTAATTCTTTTTAGAGAAAGAGAGATACTGTTTGTGCTTTTAGGGAATAATTAGAGATATGAATAGTATTATTTATTGAATAATCTTATGAGGTGGTGCTTTTGGGAATATACAAATGTGATAAAGATAATGAAACTTTAACCATTTTAGTGTGTGCGTATATATATGGATTTTAGATAAGAACACTTTAATATAAAAATAAAAAATTATTAGATAATAATTTATATATCAAATTGAAAGTGTGAACGTTATTTCTTTTTTTAAATAAAAGTAAATTCATAGTGCCATAACATATGATATATGATTTACAGAAAATTCTATAAATCATTCTCATTCACGAGTTCATTTGTCATAGTTTTGATTTTCAAAACATATTTACGAAATTTTAATCAAACTTTTATAGTCTTGACGTAAGAAAATTTGGCTATTAAAAAAAAAAAATGCAACAATTTACACATAAGAATTCAGATACAGTAATACTACACTCACAAACCCTTCTCAATAACTTTCTCTCACAAACGCAACGTGTCAGTTCGTGATTGGTCAGCTCATAATAGATCTTGCCGCCTGCTAAATACGAGCTGACCAATTACGAATTACCACAACAATGTTTGTAAGAAGTGTTTATTAGCGTATCTTTATTTATTCAGATATTGTAATATACATTACTATATATGGAGTTTCAAGTTTGAGCATTGTCAAAACTTTTGCAGACTAAGCTTAATGTGACCAAACTATGTAACCCATCATCACAACAATTTAATAAATTTTATATAAAGAAGATTTAAATTTTAATATTAGTATTAGAGGATAAATAAGAGAAAAAAAAATAACATATGATATGAGAAATTATATGGCAAATGCCTATTATTAAACAAATTAATCTCATAACTTTGACTTGTAAAAATTCAATATTTCTACCAAAATTTGGTAAACAGCTATTTATATATCATAAAAATGGTCCAGTTGAACGAGGCCACTTTTTTTACTGAAATTATTAAGCAATTTTTGAGTTATTCAATCAAAGAATTTTGGATAATGGATATTTCATAAGAAATGATACAACTTAAATGCGATCTCAACCGTACATTTGATTCATCTAAAACTAAAAAATTATGTTAAAATTTGTGTAAAACTCCTATGAGGCTCTTAACTACTTTAATTAATCCTCGGGGGAGAATAGCGTAACAATCCACCGCCACGTTCCCTACTTAAATTATAAATACTCAAATGGGGAATCAAACCTGAAATTGTGCGTCTATCTACATTATCTTCAATTCACCTTAACCATTTGGGCTATACCCACGATACGAATGGATGCAACTTAACGTCATGAATCTTTGTTCTTTCTAATATCAATATAAACAAATATTGATCAACTCTTTTTTTTTTTATATATATATAAATAATAATAGTAAGAAACCCTAAATCTTTGAATATAAAATATATAAACATAAAACAACGAGACTTTAATGGTTTTAATTAGCACACTGTATGCTTATTCTTGTAGAGATCCAAGTTTTATTTGGCCAATAGGATTTGAATGATACAAAATTTTTTAATCAATATTTTAAGAACACCATGTGACATTGTAACAAATCAAGAATTAAACATATAATTTATATGAAGATTAAAGAAGACATTTAAAAGATTTTGTCATCATATTAAATAAATAAAATGTCTAAGGACCATATGTTTATTTTATTATAAAAACTAAACTCGTGAAACGTGACGTCTTGAATTATAATTAATTAGATAAAATTGAAAATTAATTAATATAAATAAGAGTAAATTGGGCAAGTGACAATGAGTATAGTCCAATAGAAAATAACAATCAATAGACTATAGTATTAAATTAATAGAAAATAACATTAGTCTCTCCCAATATGTTATAACTATCACTTAGATCCATATGGTACCAAATAATTTCTCATTGTACCCTCCTCACCAATGTAAACATTGTAGCAATAATAAACCATTCTCGATAAGTGTTTATAAAATATAAATACAATTATAATTATAACTATAATAGCAAAATTTTTTATCTCGAAGATGTGTTTTTTCTTTCTAAAGCTTGAACAAATAGTTATAGAGAACTATAATGAAAGAGATAGAGAGAATAAACTATAAATTACACAGAAAATATCGAAATAACATGTGTTAATTTAGTTTATTAATACGGAAGGTAAAATCAATATAATCAACTAACATGTATTTGGAGGCAATGTTACCCCTCCTTTATAGACCATTGAATAGCGACCATACAATAACTCAGAAAGGGAGAGGGTAACATTTCCTCTAACTTGCCTTAACAAAATCCTCATTCTAGACAAGGGTATTAAAGAAAATTTCACTGATTCAATCAACCGTCAACTTTATCGAATAAATTTTCATAAACTAATAATCTAAACAAAATAAATGCAAAGAGTAGGGCCTTGCGAGATATTTCTCAGAAATGAACAGTTTATTTTTATATTCATAATTTGGTGTGGGGGTGAATGTGGTGAAGTGGTTGGGGCTAGGGAGGAGTTTGCAAAAAAGTTAATATTTTTTGCAAAAATACCCCAAAAAGCAAGAATGTTAGATGAGAAGTATTGTTTAAATAATAATTGATCTCCACCACCAACTCTATTTGTTGCAATGTATACACCAAATTGATCACTAGCCACTTTATTTGATGAAACCATGGATGATAGTGACCCACCAATCCCTCGACCAATTAAAATGTTAGCTCATCTTATATTACTGGTGTTGGGGTGCCGTTATGCTCATAATAACATTCGGATGACTTACTTATACACGTTTCAAGAACTAAAGAGGTTATTTGGCCGTTATTAAATGGAAGTAACGTTTTCTTTCAATATGGTAACGAATAAGTATCACTTTTGAACCATCGTCGTGAATGTTGTTTACTTTTGTTTTTTCTTTTGAAAATATGGATATTTGCATACGACGAATGAGGGTTGAGATAGGCTAATAACCCATTTACTCTTTCTTAACGTTAATTTAATTAGTAGTATTATTATCGATACGAAATTATTTTATTTATTTTAGAATAAAATTGAATTCTTTTTTGTGAAAATATAAATTTGTATATTTTTTTTATTATCATTTAATAGGTTGATTTTTCTACTCTATTTGTGCTTTTCTTTAGATGCTCAAAGCCAGTGCCAATGGGACAGATGCTACTCTAGTTGAGGCGGGATTTAAAAAAAATTATTAATATATACAATTTCTATATTTTAGTCCACTCTAACAAAAATATTAATGTATAATTAGTTTTTATTTTGGCCCACCCTAACATAAATTCTTGGATCTGCCACTTCTTAAAACATTAATATATAATTTCGAAATTGGAAAGAAATAAAATTAGAATTCAGATAACATTTTACATGAAAGGAAATGTTATGAAATGAGAATTTAACTTAAAAGGATTATAATTAAATAATATACATTCAATATTCTTAAGAATCTTAACCCTTAATTTAAGGCATTGATTTCAACATTAATTCAGAGTATTTTAAGTTAATTGTAATTACCAACACAATAAAGTTATTTATGATTAATAGTCAAAAACAATATATGATATGATATGATATTAAATAATAAGATAAGCACAATTAATAATTATTCTCGAATTCATAATGAGGGTTCTCTTATTGCTCTTATTATTCTAATCTTATTAAGTGGGTCCCACAAAACCCACTAGAACTAGAACAATTACCTTATCTTTATTAGATAAATATAAAAATTACACGTCATCCATCTTAACATCCTCTAAACTAAGTTTACAGTATCGAAGTAACGTTACCTTTTATGTGATAATTATACATGTTTAATATGTAATAATTTTTAATTTATCTTTAATTCAAAATCATCCTAATCATCTTTTTGTACATTATCTTAATAATATAACAGGTAACCTTATCGAATTTCACCACCTTTTGAATCATAGTCTAATCCAAGAAAGTTTTTACCTTATACCTAAATATTTGGAGTATGCTCTAATAATTTATCTAACGTTTCCTTAATAACATGACAATATATCAATCAAAATATTCTTATTGGATTAACCTACCAAATTTAATCATACTATACCCTCTGTCCCTGTAAGTGCTGGGATATACGGTAAGGTAACAATTCCCGCAACATCTCACAAACAAATTTTATTTCTTTCCCAATAAACCCCTCTTAACTCCCAGTAATTAAACCCAAGCATAGACTCTCTACCTCTCTCGGCACCCACCCACCCTCCCCTCCCGCTATAAATAATCTTCTCTTCTCGCTTTCAAAAACCTCTCTCTCTCTTCATCACTCCCTCTTTCTCTATCTTCGTGGTCAGACTCTCCCCTTCCTTCTCTCCAATGGCTTCAAACTGCGCTGTTACCGGCTCCGGTCTCATCGTCTCCTTCGGGGAGATGTTGATCGACTTCGTGCCGACAGTCTCCGGCGTCTCCCTCGCCGAGGCTCCCGGCTTCCTCAAGGCTCCCGGTGGCGCCCCCGCTAACGTCGCGATCGCCGTGGCTCGCCTCGGAGGCAAGGCAGCCTTCGTCGGCAAGCTCGGCGACGACGAGTTTGGCCACATGCTGGCCGGGATCTTGAAGGAGAATGGCGTCAGTGGCGATGGCATCAACTTTGACCAAGGTGCCAGGACCGCTCTCGCTTTCGTGACTCTACGCGCCGATGGCGAGCGTGAATTTATGTTTTATAGGAATCCCAGTGCTGACATGCTGTTGAGGCCCGACGAGTTGAACCTGGAGCTCATCAAATCCGTAAGTGTTTATTTTGTAAAATATCGTTCGAGTCCCTTGAGGTTTATTTTGACTACAAAAGCCCCCCCTTCAAGACTACTGAGATAGGGTTGTTTATAATATATCATGAAAAATCATGGGGTGTGTGTGAAATTTACATTGAATTCTGTCGCTCACGCGCGGTTGGTGGGTCGTGTCCGTTAACTGCTGTGTGGATCACCTCAATTCACGTATTTTCTCGTTGTAGAATTTTTGTGTGAAAAAAATCTTGACTTTGGACTTTTTGAGAGAGATGATAAACTCACGGGCGGTTCATCGATCTCTGTCTGAGATTCTCACTTTGGCGTGCGGTGACGTGTCTTAAAAATTCTAAATTTCTTTTTCTTTATGGTAAAAAAAAAAAAATTTTAAAAATATCCTTTCAATTATTATAACTAGTCAGTATCATGGAGGTGCTAGCGTGACGGCACGGTGAACGGAACCACGGTGGGGCCTACACGAGGCATGACTAATCATGATGATGATTCGAAGAGATCCAGCGCGATCAAAATCTCTCTGTGATGAACAGGCGACATCACGTGCTATCGATGACGGTACAATGACACGTCAGGTTTTAGAAAGTGTGGCCCATCTAAAGTAGGCCCTCCGTGTGGTGCGGGTCCATGCTTTTTTCAGATCTAATCTTGAAGCCTTCTCTCAGTTCTATTACCTAGAAATTGTCGTCTTTCCTGGATTCCATTATTCCTTTTGTGGGCCCTTCGGGATTCTTTTTTTTTTTTTTTATCGTATCCCACGCGCCTGATATAAAAAAGAAAAAACAAAAATCGAATCAATTCTAATTTTCGTGTTTTTATGATATTTATTTTATTTGAAATATTCCTCGATTTTAAGTTACTAGTTTATAGATTTTGGATTTATTACCTTAAAATTGTGTTTTTGT